CTCTCCATGCTCCCCCATCTCTCTCTCTCTCTCTCTCTCTCTCTCTCTCTCTCTCTGTCAAAACAGCAAGTAGAGGAAATTGCACAGCAGAGGGGAGGAGTGTTGTAACTGAATTTATCCTGCCTGTTGAAGTATATGCTACTTGAGTACTTGCACTCAAGAAGAAACTCATCCCAATGTTTATTAACCAGTACTGCTAATCACATCGAGTGGAGATTTTCTCATCCTGAGGACAGGATGGCGAGGAAAATGTTTTGCCTGCATGTAAACGCGGTTAACTTCTACCTGTAGACTGCCTTCCGAGACAAGAAGATATATTATAAATGAGCCATATATCAAAAGTAGTTGACGTTTCTGCGATGTCTTCTCTGGAGGCCTTGCGTACAGTACGCCTACAGCACACCAAGCAGCTTTATCAGCCAACCACTGCCAGCCTGCCTGATAACAACACGACAGAGACACAGGCACACATGTATGTACATACACACATAATACATCATTGCTCAAGGCCTTAGTTATTTTGCTCCTCTTCTTCTTCTCTGTGAGGCACAGTGGAAATATTAGCATGCAAGGAGGTGTTTATGCGTGTGCGTGGGTGCTTTCTACATCCTTCTCGTGTGTAATTTCCAACCTTTTTATGTTTATAAATGTGTTGATAAGATATAGTACAGATGTATTGAAAAAAAATCAGCTACTTTCTCTGACAATTTTAAAAAAGCACAAACACAGAAACCTCACAATGTGTTCATATTAATAGCAACATTCTCCAAAAGCCTGGATGAGTCGTCAGTGAAGGCCTTGTGCAGCGCGCTATGTCATCCTGGAATGTGCCCAGAGATATTTTAGTCACAGTGGAGCTTGGCACAAGACAGTTGAGATGGTATCAGCACATTAAGAGCCCACTAACAGAGAAGGAAGTATAGACTTTGGTTTTGGAGGCTGTAGATGAGTGTTAGAAAAGCATGCACAACTCAATCTTACAATCTCGCCAGATTGCGGGATATTGAGTTACTCCATTGTGTATTTCTTTTTTGACTGAACTGATTGGACGTGTGTGATTTCCCTGCAGAATGGAAGGAACTCCACCTCATTTTGGGAGGTAACTGGGCCAAAGCAGGATTGCATACCTCTATGGAGGCTCATTACAGAAGTATCAGTGACTCAGCTATTGTTTCAGACCCTATTTCCTGAAGTAGATATAAATGTATTCAAAGTTTACAGACTTTCCTCCTCTTTCTTTCCTCCTCCAGTGTGCCTCTGGCTGACTCATTTGCAGATTGTTGTCTGTGAACACAGTCATAGAGTAGTTAGATTAGTTTAAATTTGACTATATTGAATGTCAGTGTGTTGCAGAGAAGGGTAAAAGGGCAAAGGGTCACTGTGAGAGAGCCCCTCCCGCCTTGTTATCTCTAATGTTCTTATTCCTCTCTCGCATCGCTATTGAGAGAGACCGCCACTCTCTTCTATTCTCTTTTATGTCTTTCTGTGTCTCTGTGGCTGTCTTGTCCTGTCTCTTAGTCAATCTTTTACTCACCAAACTCACCATTTCTCCCTCTCACCAGCAGCACCTACTCATTCTGTCACTCTCATGTCACTGCAGACTATCTCACTCACCATCGCGCTCAGGAAACTGGAACTCACTCTCTTGTTTTTGCTCTCCTCCCTTTATTCTTTTGGCGCTAGCCTCAGCTTGTGTTCCTCTTCTTGCTCTTTCCCCTCACACCTTATCTGCCCTCCCGTCTGTTTATCAGCCTGGCCTCTCAGTGACAGAGCCTATTGCCATGGAATGTATCTCGCCAGCTGAAGGCAATGCGTCACAGCCACAACACTTTGCACTACACCAAAACAACTTGCTCGAGTGTGGACCCAGACAATGTTGCATAATAAAGACAGATTCCCAGAACCTTCTTTGTATTCATCTGCAATTTTAGCACATTTTCAACCTCAGTCACTCCTTTCTGCAGAATAGATACATGTGGTGGGCAGAAAATAAATAGAGAAGCAGAGAACCAGAGATGGTGGTAGGAGGAGACAAAGAAACAGAAGAGGTGGGAGGTGATAAAGACAGGAAAAGTGATCTGAGGGAGTGAAATGGATGTTGAGATGATAAAAAGGGAGAGAGTTGGATGAAAGTGGAAGACAATGAGACATTTCTAAGAAGAGCGAGGACAGCAAAGTATTTTATAAAACAGGAACAGAAAGGTAGCAAAAATAAAGAAACAGAAAAAGATTGATGGGGCTAAGATAAAGATGGGCGTAGAGAGGAACTTAAAGGGGGAAAAAAACAAAAAAGAGAGGAAGAGACAGGGACAGATGGTGAAAAAGACAACAAACTGATGGATGGTTTGTTAGGATAGGCCACAACAAGCCAATCAAGTTAATGCCCTTGATTTTATTGGAAAGGTTAATAATAGCCTCCATTCATACTGCATGTGAGAACCAATAACAAAAGGAGCGATGGTCAGAGAGGAAGAAATTGAAACACCGCAAAGACAAACATCAAAGATGTAACGTGGAGGGACAGCAGCCAAGACAAAAAAAATCAGCACGACCTTAAGTAGTCTCAGTACTCTAACGCTCTGATGAGAAGCACCTCTCTGTTGTGTTATTGCACAAACCTCTCAGTGAAAGGCTTTGGCGTCAGCACATTCAAGATTCACACAAAGACACACACACACACACACACACACAGTGCACAGTGATAGTGGTATCTCAAAATGTCCTGAGCCTTGCAGGAGTAATGCTAGGCTATTAGAGTTAACTGCTGACCTGTAAGAACTAGCATCGACAGCCATCTCGCGCTCAGCATCCCACTGAGCTCTGTGAGAAATTACACACCCACAGTGTACTGAGGACATGTGACTATTGTATAACTGTAAATGATTTCAGAAATTATTATCACTTGACTTCAGAAAGGAGAAGAATGAAGTTATGATGGGGCTGCAGTGTGGGGGTTCAGTTCAGTATATAGATGCGATGAGAAAACGCCCTTGTTTCCGCGATGAAGCAGCTCACTAGGCTGTCACCGGCCAGTGCTGAGTCACTTTATTTCAATTCAGAGTGAGCGAGCAGCCAGTCGGCCTCTCCTCTCAGCCCTGCTGCTTGAGCACGCCTGCAGCAAAGTGAGGTTCACACCTCGACGGAGTAATAACCACAGCCAAACTGAATATCAAGCATAATTGCGACGCTGTTTTGTCATTTATCAAAGGTTTACCCAGCTGACATTTTCTTGGTGTGATGTGGAAGACGAGGCTGATTTTGATGAAACTGTTTGAAAGGTCATGTTCAAACTGAGCTGAGTTTCACACTGACTTTCACTTTCATTGTGAAGTCAAATACAGCGCTAGACAGACAGTTTGAACAGGTATAGCTTCACATGTAGTGGAGGATCAGACCCTAGGGATTTGTCTCTGTCTCCTTGTCATTTTTATTGAATTGAGTCAGGGCTTGACTGTACTTGTTTCATTCTCTACAGAGTGGGGGTGGATGCAGATGAAAATCCAGAGGACCTTTCTTTTGAGGTAAAATCACCTTATTGTCACTATTCTGTAATGCATATTTTATCCGCTCTGTTTATTGCCGCAGTCTTTGTGCTTACTGCCATTTCAATAGGAACCTGTGCAGTTCTGCTGCAAGTGGCCCTTTGAAATAGTCATGCTTCAGCAGCTTCAGGACTGCATACAAAATATGATGTCCAGTAAATCTCTGTTCAATTATGTAAAAAGTATTCATAGAACTACCTATTGAAAGCTTAAATAAGTGGAAATACCTCACATATTGCATATGTTGCAATGTAAAATGCATTTTTTTTAAAAAGTAGGTTATAAAACATTATTTTTGTATATACCAGACAGCAAAGCATCACTCTGAGGTCATTGTTTACTATCATTGTGCCTCCATTTAGCTGTGGGATCAATTAAATCTATCTTATCTTATCTTTCTTGATAGCTCTTGTACAGGTATTTCTCATCAATCCCATTTAGAGTCTTGGGCATTAGTGCTACTCAATATTATTGCATTACACTACAGTCAGTAGTTGTTTTTGTGTGCTTTAAAACATTGACATTAACGTCATTGCGAACAGTAGGCCTAATGATCTACCTAGAGTTTTATGTGATTCAGATTAGGTATTCAGGGGATTAATTTTTCATGAAAAGTCCCTGCCGGTATACATAAAACTTTAAAAACATGGAGCTCATTTCCAAAATATGGAGAGAAAAATGACAGATGCCAGTAGGAAACATCTTACAAGGCTTAAAACGACGCCATAAACACTGATGAAATGATTTTTATAACAACATCTTTTAAGACGACCAAATAATTATAATTAAAAAGAAACTCTGCAGCTTCATTTGCTTTCCAGATGACTTCAGCAGCTTCTATTCTTCACTTATTCTCAATACTCAGCTTGTAAAAAGTGATTCTACATATGTATACAGTGGACTGTGGTTTCTGCTTAGTTGCAGCTCTCTGCACTGGAGGGAACAAAGTGGGAGAGCAGCAGCCACATTCAAAGACAATGAAACTTAATTTGCTTAAGAGCTATTTTTAATCACCACAAAAGTGCCGCAAGGTTGTACTGCGTCACATTTTGAGTGTGTTTTACTTAAGGTAGTGTTTTGCACGTGCTGCACATTATAGGGACTTACAATACGTAGCATTTTTACACATAATGTGCAAAGCGAGGATTTGCCTGCCATCCTCTCCCGGTGACACATAAGTTTCTACCCTTTAATCTTGGCTCTGTTGTTTATTTTAACACCGCATGACATCAAAGTATAAAAGCGGTTCAAGAGAAGGAAATGCACTTTTGCTTCCTGCTAAATGATAGTCCGTTGCACATCCTTGCTGGCATGCAGACCTTCTCAGTGTGCCTTTTCTGTTGCACAGGCACACCCACCCAAACTCACACCCCTCCCACCCCACCATCACTGTTTCCCAGCACTCCATTCCCTCTCTTTCATCTTCTTATTTGACCTGACTCTTATCCGCACGCTGTGAATGGGACATGGTCTGGGCAGCTCCCTGGCATTATGAGGCCAGGGGGGCAGGCAGAATAGGCAGCGTGGCAGGTAAGTCTGGAGGAGAATCCCAGTGGAGAGGCGAGGCCGAGCCCCAGGGCTTTTTCTCATGGAAATGGATAAATGTAACCTTGCCCAGGGTGAGAGTCCGCTGGGGGCATGTTCTTACTGTAGCAGGAAGGGATCTCTAGTGGCTTTGCAGTTTTTTGAAAAGGATTTTCCTATATAAGCACAGGGCCTGGGGTTTCTCTTGTAAAAGGTCATTGGATATGGCCCTGCTGACCATCCAGGGGTGCATGTTACCAGCGTTTCCATCAGGCAGCATATATAGCCACCCCAGAGGGTCTGTGTGTGTCAATGAGTAACAGTGGTTCTGTCATGGCCTACAGGTTACTACAGGGAGGCCAGACACAACACGGGGCCTGTGGCACTGTCTGGACTACAAGTATCCTTTCACTGCTTTCTTCTCCAGAGCACTCTCACATCTGCTGGCACTCATAATGGTTAATGCACTGGAGTAGTATTATACAATGAGTACAAGGAAAAAGAGCAGAGTGCTTCGTTTCAGGGAATGTGAAGAAAGACCCATATGTTCTTTGATGGCAGAACAAACAGAAAGTTTGTGAACTACTTCAGGTGGGTGGTCCCCAAGCACTTATACAGTATATATGTCAACACAGTGGTATCAAAACAACTTACATATTATGCTAGTTTTCCATTAAATGTGTATTAAAATGCATTTATGTATGCATGTAGAAAAACATATTTTTGACATTAAAAAAAAATCCACCGACCAGCACTGCTAAAGTTCATGAATTAGCTTAATATATTACATTTGTTTAATCAAATCAATTTGAACAAAAATGTAACCAGATTTAAAGTGTATAAAGAATAAATTGTGGTTTTACAGTGGGTTAAACCACAACAGCCTTTATTCTAAGCTGAGCTAACAAGTTGCTCGCTGTAGCCTTTATTTTTGTCGTACAAACATGAAAGTAGTATTGATCTTTTCATCTGACTCTCGGCAAGAAATTGAATGAGTGTATTTCCCGAAATGTCAAACTATTGCTTTAAAGTATTTACTGTTGACTGCAGGGTGAACTGGGTTCCTGTAAGCAGAGGATATCGTTAAATCATTTGGCAGTAAGAAAACGGCCCTGTCCCCTGCAGTGGAATTTCATGAGGACTGCATTAAGTTTAAACTAATCTAATTTTACCAATTAATGGCCCCATGACCTGGCCCGGTGTTCAGTAAGGAGCACATCATTTTACTTTATGGACTCTATCTCCGCTGCAAAACAATGAGATGCAGGTCTATTAGTACATTCATTTAATGCATGAGTGTATTAATGTTAAAATTTGATTTTTTTATTTTTATTTTTTTAGAGGAGTGCATTTAAATTGAATATATGATTGGCCATTGTTGGTAAACCATTAACCATCACTGTGGATTAGAAAAGTTCCAAAACAGCAGGTTTAGCTGTATGTGCTCTGTTCATGGAAAACAAGACAGTCTTAAATCAACGAGTATGTTGGATTATTCAATCACATGAGAAACGTGCGTCATACTTAGGTTTGTTGAATCTCAGTTGTCTCTGACAACAATGTGACACTCAGTAGAGCAGAGTTTATGAGGTAATGGAATCTGTCTTTACAGTGTCAACAATTTAAATCCCTCAATGTTTTTGTATTTTGTGGTGTCGCAAGAAACCTTTTATGACTGTATTAAGAACGGAAGCCTCAGCTTTCAACCAAAGTAATTAGTTTCTCGAGACAAGTTTGGCAGCGATTACAGCCTCAGGTTTTTCTGGTTTTGTCTGTATGTCCTCGCTAGATTTGTAGATTTTTTTTCACATTGTTCCTTGTCATCTCAAACTTTATCAAACTGAATAGGAAACCTCTGTGAATAATTCTTTAAAGTAATTCTTAGATATTCAATAGGATATTTTTATACAACGTTGCTCCACTTTATTGTCTGGAACCCTCTAAAAATGTTCTTTGAGAAGTGCTTCTTCCTTGTTCCTTTGTGTCCTCACAAGTCTCCAATGTCCCTGCTGCTGAAAATCCTCCTCACAACATGATACTGCCGCCACTAACATTTTTCACAGGATGGTGTCGGATGAGAGATAAACTCTGCCAAGTCTCCATCAAACCTTGTACTTCACATTATAAATTAATTCATTTAAGCTCATCTTAGAAAATCATTTGTATTTGATTTATTAGCAAGGATTGGAAGTTTCTAATCCAACCCATTTTCGGTTTAGGCTCTTAAACCACAAAATGCAGAAAAGGTGAATGTGGTTGAAGACCTTAAAAAATCCCTGTAAAGCACAGAACCGGGTATGACTTAATGTCCCTCCTGCCTTTTATTTGACATTACGTGGTTTGTTGTTGCACAACCTTGCAGCTTCTGAGAACATTAATTCAAACACTACTTTTCTCAGAACAGACTGCTTGTTTTTTATAGTTATTGCCCAAAAGAAATAAAGAAACTCTTACTCTTTGAGGAAAAATACTCTTAATTAAAGGTTCTATACAGCTTTGAACTGTTGAAAGTGTTTTTCAGACAATATTTGATGAAATTTCAAAAGGATTGGAATTCAGTTATCAGCAGAAGGTGATGTTACATAGAATTATACACACTTTCTGACAATACACTTTGAATAAAAGTCTAGACAGGATTGAAAAAACAACTGAATAAAAACACTTTGTAAAGCATTTATGACTTGATATTTGGAACATTTGCTTATTATTTGCTTATTCGCTTTGCTAAGAGTTAGTTGAGAACTTTAATACCACTTTCACGATAAATATAGCTTAAATGCTGGAAATAATAACAACTCTCCTGAATCTGCACCAAGGTAACAGAATCTACCTACCAGCACCTTTAAAGTTCACTAATCAACACGTTACATCTTCACACATCGGAGGATGGTGGAGGATGCCATCATCTTCCTGACACACAACGACCTTCTCACACCTGGAGAAGCAGGGGAGCTCTGTGAGAGTCATGTTCTTCGACTTCTCCAACACCTTCAACACCATCCAGAGCATACAGAGAACTGATGGAGAGATTTTACCTGAAACTCAATCAGTAAGATCAAAAGGCTACCAGATAAACAGAAGGCCGGTTATCATGTAGTGAGAGGAAGTGGAGAGGGTGGACTCATACAAGTACCTTGGGGTCCAAATCAAGGACTGGACTGATCTCACAACACTGATGCCTATTCTTCCTCAGACTCATATCTTTCAGTGTGTTCAACAGGCTCTTGCAGACCTTGTACCAGTCTGTAGTAACACTGTTCTTTGCTGTGGTGTGCTGGGGTGGCAACATCAAGGCTGGTGAGGCCAGCAGACTCAACAAGCTAGTAAAGGAAGGGCAGCTCTGTGCTCGGGCTAGAACTGGACAGTCTGGAGTCAGTGGCAGAGAAGAGGGCATGAAGGATAAGATCAGAGCCATCCCCCAAAACTAGGTCTACCAAGGCAGCCATAGAGTTGATAAATGTTTCTAGCACACACACACATATGACACACTGAAAACACTGGTTACAGAGATTTCAAGCTTTCATAGCTTGCAACACAACATTGCAATCTGTGTAACCATAGTAACTAAACAGAGTGTACCCATACCCGTTGGCTATGGTTAAAAGTCTACATAGTGGGTTAATTTGCACATTTGACAGAATGTTTGTGGATGCACGCAAATGTGAGCGAGAGAGAGGAAGAGAGAGAGCGAGGGTGGATGAGAGAAGCCGTGAGCAGGATGAAAGGCGCAGTCCTGGCCACTGTTTCCTATTGATGGAAAAAAAAAAAAACGTATTATGGAGATGCTTTGATGTGGACCAGGTGAGAGGAGCCTCAGCCTGGATCCTGCTGCCAGGTAATTGAGCCTCAGCCTGGCTCGCTGGTGTCTCATCCTAAAGGAATACTGTACTGCTGCTTTACTTAACTGTTTGCCCGTCGGCTGGACTTTAAGGCTCATTAGGACAAACGTTTTACTCTAAGCACTGATTTTGACAGACATCAAAGCCTGTTTGATCTTTGCTGCTGAAGGGGTTTGCAGCCTGTGGTTTAGGGGCTGGAAACCAATGTTTTTGTTTTGACATTGGAATCTCAGAGGGCACCCATGTTTAAGACACCCAGGGTGGCTGCATTACATGGTTGGCTTGGTCTTTGCATGAATCTGTGGCGTGACTTATATGTATGATATAAATACCACAGTAGCAAAGCATAAACAACACCATACAAAAATAGAGAGAGGTGGCACCAACTGTAAATATGAGCTGCTGACATTTTGTATTGTGTGTGTGACAGACAAGTAGAAGTATTCATTATGGAGTATGGCCCCTTTCAGAGTGCTTTATATTGTTGGATTTTTATAACTGATGCATTGCAAGCAGCATTTTATTGTTATGGCTGCTCAGAGTGAATCTAATTTTACTGTATATACTTTACACACAGTTGGGTAGTGTAATCTCTCACAATGCGTTGTATTAATAAGATGATAATATGAGTCATATGTAAAAATCTGAATCTGCAAGGGAAATGCAGCTGTCAGATAGATGTAGTGGGCTAAAAAAAGTGCAATATTTCCCACTACAATACAGTTATGAACAAAAATCTGTCTACTTCCTGGAGTCTGGGCTGATTATCTGGAAACTTCACAATGAGAACAAGACTCCAGGAAGTCGCTATGCATGAAAGAAATAGAAGCAAACCACTGGACAGAGACAGGCTCGCTAATCATTGAGCTAATCTAACGGCTTCAAGCTGGCACCTCATATTTAACAGATGTGATAATTGTATGCATCTAACTGTCTAATTAGCTGCAAAAAAGGGAATAAGCATGTTTCCCAAACTGTTTGTTTAATGTGGAGATATTGTCACAGCCAAAAAAAATTATGTTCTTAAATTAGAAATCATCAGATTCTAATTTAATGTGTTAAAAAATGGGTTATCAAGATGCTTTTTTAACATTCAAATGAGACACCTACACTCTTTAAACAGACATATGTTTCAGATGGTTTTGGGTTATCTCCTATCTACCTGAGAAAAACCTAAACCTATTTTGAAATATTTGTATTGATCTATTTATCTTTTATCCATTTAATTGAATTCTTTTTTTTAAAAATGAGGACAGTTCATCTTCTTTATTTTGTTGCTCTTTTAAGTGTGAAGTACAGTAGTGGAGTAAATGTGTTCAGGTACCTACTTTCCCCCACTGACTGATTAGAGGTCAGGAAAAGGTGACATGTAGGAAGGGAATGAGCTTGCCGCGGCGAACCAGCAGTTGGGCTTCTACCTCCACACAACTACTCAGCACCTTTTCCCACACACACACACACAAACAACCTGACACTGTTGTGGAGCAGAAAGCAGCACCAGCAGTTATAATTACCATCGCTGTCTAGTATGATGCCGGCATGGAGCAGGAGGACACCGTGCCGACAAGAAGACAACTCACTCCTGCAGGTCCCAAGGAAGTCATTATTCCCTCCTTTTCTACCTTTTCATCTTCTGCCCTCTTTTCTCTCCCTCTCTTCCTCATTTGAGACATTTATAAATAAATCCAGTTAGCTGGCAGAATGGTGCCCATAATTCCCACCTCTTGCATATTGCTGATAACAGCACTAGAATGTAAGAATTGGCACCAAATAACAGATCAGTTTCCTCTCCCCTTTGTTTTTGTGCTCATGCCAGGGGATTGTGTACTTGCGTGCCACGTCTAAGTCCCGCATTATTTATTATAGGCTCTGGGGTACAAAGGTTGCTTTCGTCCAGAAATTACAGGATTGTTTAAGTATTGTTTTGTCTTTTTCCAAGTCACAAGGAGAGCAAAGTATGAACACCTGCAGAAGGGCTTTATTAAGGATCTGATTATTAATCAGAACTATTGTTTACAGCTAAAAGCTAGTAAGTGTGCTGCCATTTTTAGGGCCTACAATGGATAGGATACAGAATCAAATGTATTACAAGATCGGCTGTCACCAAGCTACTGTTTGCAGAAATCTAGGCCTCAAAAGAGGTATTTGTGGGTGTGTAATATAGCATATTGTTATCAAGTGACTGCATTCCATCATAGGTGTTTGATTTTAGCCCACAACACCTGCAGAGGACTAATATCTGGCATCCAAAAACAGCTTCCTACTCCTGCTCTCACTAATTCGAGACATGCTCGCCGCTATTGCCTTTTATCAACACTTAAACACATTTATAGACCAGTTCTGACCTTGCCTCTGGTTTTAATCAAGTGCGAGACTGACCCGTCTTGCCTGAAACAAGATAACACAGCCTTTTTTCTGTGAGTAAATTATTTTTTATCTCTATCAAGCCCTCTGCAGCTGTGCTCTTGTAAGGCGCTCCCTCCTGGAAAGTCTTTTGTTGTAATTTTTTTTGTAAAAAGATTAATTTTTGCACTTTTATGCAGCACAGGGCCACAGGTTGGAATTGAACTCAGGCTGCTGCAGTAAGGCTCTACCAAGTGAGCTACCAGGGCGTCCTCCTTTATTGCATATTTTATCGTGGGCTTTTATTACTTAAGACAGCAGCAGACAAGAGCTGGTATGTGTATATTAAATATGCTAACATCTTTACAAACTGGAACAAAAATAGCACCTAAAGCTCGAATGACTAATATCCAGCTCTCTGCAGTATTCTGTGTTGAAAAAACCACCGGCACTTAATGATGGCAAGCTGACAAAGGCCATATAAGAGGAACATTATGCTTAATATAATATCATATATGTTTATCATTTCGACATTGCATTATGAGAATGAGTGCAGTGATGTCAGTGAAATCTGAAAATGGCTGTGTCATTGTTTAGCCTCTCACTGCTGTGCCTGGTGGAAGTGTGGCAGTCTTTGTTGCATTTTATATTTTTACTTTTTGCTTGCATTGTAAAAAACAAGACCAAACAGGAAGTATGGTTAAAAAGAATACTTCTGACAGCAGTACATGGTAAAACAGTCCCATTGTTACTGTTCCTATTTATTTCACTTCTGTAAAAGATATTCTCATTTATGGATATGTGTATGTTTTTCTCCAGAAAAGAATTACTAATTTTAGCCAATTCTTTCTAACATAGTCAGCGGCCTCTGATTTGCCCACCCACATCTGCGGCTAAAACAACATTCCTCTTAACCCTTTTGGTCCCACCCATAATTAACATAATTAGCTATACTAATACAACTAAGATGTTACACCTTGATCATCTTTATGAAGCGTCTAAAATCCGTTACTTTTTTTCCACACATAATCGCAAAATGTGCCCCTAGTGGGATGTGCTTTGGTTCTGCTAAAATTAATTACAGTTATAACTTTGTGGCCTCTGGCCAGATCTGGAAACAGCTAAAAACAAAGCAATTTCCTCTCTCCTGCTTACTGTAATTGACACACAACTCTGCCATAATGCAACCTTAACAAGGTCACAGATATCTGAAGCCGCTGCTGACACACTGTGGCCCTCCTTTGACTGACTCACTGCCACAGTGGTGTGGGGTATTTGCAAGACTCTTCGGCAGAGCCCAAGTCCAGGAGGTAAGACTTGTGTTGCTATATACTGTGCAAAGTATATAAATATATAAAGCTATCAATTATAATTTTCCACTTGCTTTTCAGGACGAAGAGCTGCGTGAGATCGAACCAGATGACTTCACCTTCATTAATTTGGAGAAAACCGAGGACCAGGTTGAATCTCAAAGAAGCGACTCCGGATCCGAGCACCAGGAAGACCTGCTGGAGGGAGACCTGGGTCTTGGCACTGCTGCAGCTCTCGCCATGGAGGCCTGAAGCTCCAGGAGTTACTTCTAACCCCAGCCTTTCAGCCCCCGCTGGCCTGAGGCTAAGACTCCTGCCTCCCACAGTGAATGGGGTCACTGGCCAGGGCATCTAAGAGGGGCCCGACCGGGAGTCAAGAGCTGCAATAGCTCCGGAAAGGTCATGCACCCCCCTTGTGCTGACATGCATGCAAAGACACACTTGCAGAGGGAGAAATAACAATAACAAAGGCCATTGCTCTTTCTGTTACTCTGCTGATGATTTTCTTAGCTTGTTTTGCTTTAGTTTCAAGGAATTTAATAGCTGACATTCGTCGCTTAAACTTACAGTTTATGTGCCTTACACAACAAACAGGAGGCAGAAATTGACCTATGTGTGCACAGTGTACTTTTGACACAGCAAGCAAAGTTATAATGCAACAGTTCTGGTCACACATTAATTGCTAGTAAAGCTGCTTCGTGCTACTTGGTTACATAATGTCTTGCTTTCACGCTTAAGGGGGAATTGCTCATGAGCATCCACTGTGATTGAAAGCTACGGTATTTCCCTTAATCAGCTGAAATGGTATTTTTTTGCCAACTTTGCTCTGCTCTTCCTCAACTCCTTATTAAACTTTTATTGCACTGTTTTCCTCCGCAATCCTTTTTAACTCATTCAAAATGTATTCCACTGAATTTATTAGCCCCTCGTCGCTCTCCCTGTCTTGCTTATCATTCTGCAGCAAGCTAAAATACATCCAAATGCTTAAGTATATTAACAGCATTCAGATAAGAGACTATGTGCATGTGCCTTCTGAGCGCATCTTTATAAATCTCAGGGCCCCCTCCCCCCTTGTGTGAAGCAGGGTGTTGTGTGCTGCACAAATCCAATCTGTGAAGGTTAAGCTTTGTGGATATGCAAACTGTTTCTCTCACATTAATAAAGCCATTGTCCTTGAAGTGAGGGCTTCTTTATGTTTTGAATGCATCGGTGCATCTATGGAATGCTCCTCTGTTTGTGTTCTTAATTACAAAAACATACAATGTATTCCCCTTTGTTTGCACTGGAGTTTGAATTCAGTTTTGTTCTGAGCCAAGGAGACCGAATGATAGCAACAGCCTTTCACCAGGAATCCTCCTCCATCTAATTCAGAGTACAATCTTACTAGTTTGTGTGGTTTGCAGAGATTTGGAGCTACTGTCTGTACAGGTCACCTAAAACGCTCTCCCTGTATGACAGTTCCTTCAGATGAACCACAAACCTTATTTTCATTAAAAACTACTCATTGACATAAGCCCACCAGCTACAACATCTATCTCTGTGCAGGAGGAACAAACTGCTCACAACAAAGTATTACAACTTTTCTGCGTAACCTTGAGGGAAAACTCTTGCCTGCTCAGCTTTCCGAGTGTAACTTTTTGGGCACTTGCAGCATCACAAAACCAAATGCAACTGAGCTCTTTTACGGAAGTGAAGCTTTAGCCTCAGCACATCTAAAACCACATGTAGTAGGAGGAAAACCAGTGGTCATGTGGTTGTCATTAAACCACAGGACCCTTTAACTTTTATACTCATAAGTATCATGTATTTAGGCAATTCACATGAGTGTATTCCCCTTGTTGAGCCATTTCTCGGAAATATTTGAGGTTGTGGTGCCAAAAAATTGAAGTTCTCAAGCGACTGTAGTAATTACTTCTACCAACTTAAGAATACAGTATTTCTGACTATTACAAATAACATATTTATGACACATACGTAAAGGTACCCTGTGGAGGTTTGACCACTACTCACATTATAAAGCAATGTTTCTAGTGTGTGCATTCGTGCAGATGTTGGAATACACATTTCTGACAATGGTTCCACACTATTCCACGGCTGTACAGGTAAAGTACTAAGAAATATCAATGCACCAGCAAAGGCTGGAAGAAGAAGACTGCCAGGAAGTACACCGATGTGAACCATGCAGGTTAAGAAAAATATGCTTTGCAATAATTTCACAACGAAAGAATGCATTAAACATATTATATTATTTCTTGTTTCTTACTGTTTTTATTTTTTTGTGTTGTACGGTGTCCTCGAGTGCCCAGAGAGGCGCCTTTAAATAAAATGTATTATTATTATTATTATAATTAGACCTTGAAGATACACACAACGTTGTTTGGTGAGAAATGCTGAATGTAAACAGAAACTTTGTTTACAGTAAACCTCCACAGGGCACCTTCAAGTTATGTAGCCCAAATGTGTGGCATTATTCCAGCACAATGGTTCTCAAATGGTGAGGGAAGGCACAGTGGTGCATAATGCAGTGAACTAAGGTATGCCTTGAAACATCTCATACATACAAAGAGCTAAATTATTACAAAACCTATATGTAATTAAAAATACATATTAATAGCATAGGTTTTTGTTATTCCAACATTGATTAAATCCAGTGGCTCACCATGTTGTATTTTATTTTATTTGCATTTTTAAGGGAACCTTGCCTCATGCACCAAACTTTGAGAACCACTGACGTAACGCTTGTGTTTTTGATCATGATTTTTACATGTACAGCAGTGCGGCTTGTTCAACACAGATGCATAAACTGTCTTGTTAACTGTGAACTTTACTTGATGCAATATTCCCAGATCATGTGTTTTTATAAGAGCAAGCAATTGTAAACATTTGAAATGGTAGAACAGACTGCTTACACTGACACTGAGAGAGACTTTCCAGCTCCAGAGCCATGACATTGTCCACAGTGCATGATATCATCCTACCAGGATTTGGTGACAAAAATCAAGACATCCTCATTTTTTAAAAATCTAGAAATAGCACTACTGCTACCTCTGATGTAGCCTACTCATCACACCTCTACCTATGGCACATCAACAAACCAATTTATTGATTGTCTCTGACTTCAACCAGATCTTACAAATAAACATTAAGCAGCTTTTTTTTTTTAAATCAGTTGTTCTTTGTTTTTTTTCTTTCATCAACTATTTTCACTTTTACAGACAGTATGGAGACTGAAAAAACAGATTTCTTGTAAGGTTTTTAACATTCAAAAATAACCCCAAAACATCCACTTTGTTGTGTCATCATAACAAGATACATGAATTATACAGTTGTTGTTTTTTTCACTGTTGCAGCTTCACTAATTAAGTCATTGTTCGTAGGCCTTGCATTGTCAAACATCCAATATTCCAGTATAAAAGGAGTGGTCCTTTCAAATTCCACTGCAATTCAACTGAGGGAAACATGATACATTCCAAATGTGGCCAGTGGAGATCTTCGGACACTGATTTAAAGTAAAGCTTTAATTCCACAATAAGAGGAAACGGCACTCGATGCAAAATAAACATTAAATTAAAAGGTCTTTGGTGGCGAGTACGTTTTCACAGTTTGGAGTGTGTCAGTAGTGATTTGCTCAAGTCCTTGGCCTCCCCAGCTGTTCTGACTCTGTCGTACCCTAGAACAGACATGGCGTGGTGGCAGTAGTCCTCCACTTGTTTGATCTGTTGAATGCTGAGCACTGTTCTCCATGCACTAGCAGCTTGTGTGGCATTCCTGGATGAGACTATGAATGGCTTAGAGGAGGAGCTGGAGCCGCTGGTCATGTTCAGCGCGAATGACTCGATTTCATGGTTGGTGGTGAGGTTGGCAAAGCGGTAGATGTTCCGCAAGGTCTTAACTGGGTTCTCAACCAGGTCCTCATACCGCACAGCCATGTACTTCCCTTTCAGCCAGCTGGGTGGGTTTAAGGCGGTCCTCAAAGTCCTGGAGGTGCGGTCACAGATCACCTCCATGGCTCCTATGGAGTGGTAGTCTGAGCCATCCTTCTTGTTGGCTTTGTGACCAGGATCCACAAAAGGGATCCGGCGAAGTTTAGGGTCCCTGCTGCGGACCACCTGTAAATTCTCCCTGATCAGACCGTGTCTGGATTTGATCCTGGAGTTGGCCACTGCCCGCGGGTCTCTGACCAAGTGTATCACCTTCAAATCCAAGGATGGATCCTCCATGAGTGGGGCCAACACGTTAACGTCCAAAATGCGCACCCCTTTAATGACTATGGTGCTATATTTGAGGCACTCCTCCTCCAACAGTCTAAGGCTTTGAGGGGGGCACTTTTTACACACCTTATCATCCACCATCCCCACCACCTCTTTCCTGTAGGCTGAGCAGAGGGGATATGAGCACACCACTTTATTGAGGGTAGCCCCAAATAGTCCCAGGGAGGTAAAATTCTTGCCCCCGGGGCTGTTGTAAAGTTGGAAAACAGACAGATCACAGCGGTATAAGGAGCTAAGCATGTCCCTGGCTGCCCCTTGTAAAGACACTGCATCTCCCGGGTACAGTTTCTGCCAGATGTGCCACATTGGCTCATACAAGAAGAACACTTCGGGATTTTGGTTAAAAAGCTCCCCAAAAAAGGACGAGCCTGACCTCCAGGTGGTCAGAACATAGATAAGCTGTCTCTTTTTAGCCAGAGAGGGCCTGTACAGGAAGCGAATGTCAGATCTGCTCTGATAAGTGGTGCTCCTCATCTGATGGTTACACTGCTGTGGCTCCTTAGTCCATTTATAATTAGCCAAGTTAAGCATAGTGAGGACCAACAGTAGGAAATAGGCCATAAATAACACAATCCTCTTCCTGCGGAGGACTTTCATCACGATCCCAGGCTGTGCTATTATCTTGGTATGATTCCTGTAGGTTTTAAGCTTCCTCCCAAAACCAGCATCCTTCTCCCAAGGCGCTGTCAACTTCAGTGGTTGATGATATTGTTTGCCTCTCATCTGTACCCTCAGAGAGTGGCTCTCACCACTGGACAAAGCTCCTTACATCGACCGTGCACCGACGCGCTCTGGAGAATGTATACAGGCTGTACTGGGAATGGATACCCAGTTGAATACCAGTTTATTAGGTAATATATTCACTACCAATTCAAAATCCACAACAACAACGATATCCGGTTTTCACTGCATTGCGCAATGTTCTTCATAAGAACGACGGATGAGAGGAGCGTTGAAGTTGTCCATGGCCAGCGTTGGGTGGCCCGTGTTCAAAACAAAAAGGAAGCAGCCTTCATCATTGTAACAGACGCCCTGTTTGTCCATGTTCAGCGGAGGCATCCCTGCGCAGTTATCATCTGATGCATCCTTGTAAATGCAGCCTGGTAAGATTCAGGCACCGCAGACAATGAAACCGTGACGAGTCGGCGCGCCCGGCTGGAGCTCATATCATTCCGCATCTGCCATAACGGAGCAAAGGAATGGCCAGTATCCACAGTTTAAGTAGCTGTTTGGTAAAAGATTTCCCCCCCCGTTCTTCCTGCTTCCCTGCTCGTTGAACTAATACAAACTAGACCGTTTCAATCAGAATACAAGGGAAAGACCCGCCCACCGAGGGACTGCATTGGTCCGCGTTTTGACGTCGTGCGTCAGCGGGCTGCGCCATTGGACCCTGCCGCGCGTCCGTCTCGCTGCAGGCTCGATTTGGCTCCCACAGATGGCAGCAGTGGTTGACTGTATGAAATGATGCTGTTGTTATGTTTCAGAGAGGTCTACCTCACTATCTGCATCCTTGTAACCACGCTCCACCCTCCGTTATAAGACGTACAGCTGCGCACTGATGCCTTAGGAGATTCTGAGGGTTCTCTTTACAAACGCCACAACCTCACCCATCCCCATTGTCTTTAACTCTCTCATTTGTTTAAATTCAGCTGTTTTTTTAAGTTTGTGTTCGGAGTCCTGCGTTTAATTTAAAATGTGTTCTTTTTATAGTGAATGACCACAGAGAGGAATCAATATTTCAAATGTATAAATGTATTTGTTTTTCCCACTACAGCCTCAAGAGGGTAGCCCAGATCTATAAGAAAAAACAGCTCCCTGCACTGATGTAAAAATCCTGTTATTAATCAAAAGTATAGTGCTGTACACACATTGCGGTAAAATATGTTCATGTACCACAGAGACATTGTTTGTGATGAAAGATTACAATTCATAATTAAGAGTAAAATAGCCTATAACAGTATGTGTACAAGAGTATTGCTGTGTTTTTTGCATTGACTGTATTGGAACACAGACAGCAACAGTGACTGACACTCCTCTCAAGTGGAATCAGCTGAAATCTGACAGCTGTTTCCCAAGAGCTGACAAGTCATGGGAAGCTGTAAGGCCATGTGTTAAAACAGAGGAAACCACATGCTCTGCAGATTGAAAATCATATTTCCTAAGAGGCTTGCCAGTTTGGGATTACAGCCATGCACAATTGAACAGCATAAAAAGTGAAAGGGGTTGGGCCCTTTGACCCCTGATGAGAAATCTCTGGGCAATGTTATATCCAGATTGGGATTTAGTGACTTAATTGTAATCTCATTGTGCTTATTTTATATTTCTTCTACCACCAAAACCTTTTTTTGCTATGTGGCTGTAAGGGGTCATAAACAAAATATATAGCTTACCGTAAAACCCTTGTTTGTCTACATCTATTATAGATCAAATAAAGCCATGTGTACTGTGTGCTTCTGATGGATTATTGAACAATACAGTGAATAATTACTCTGCAAAATGTGTGGTGTTTGGTATAATCTTTCTAGCTACTCATGTTGTAGTACTCATCCAATGCGGCTGTTTACAGTACAAAACCTTTGTGCAGACTGCCCTCTGCTGGAGCATATTGTGTCCAATCAACACAAAAAAACACTTCTCTCTTTCGATTGTTGACATCACAACAGATTTCCTTTACATAGCCAAAATTAAACATCTTATATGTAAATGTATTCTATCTATATCTATTTTATCCACATTTAGGCCTATTGAACATTTGACACAATGTTAAGTGGCCAGTGGAAATATTTTAATATAATATTGATTACTTATTGAAATCTGATAATGTGGCACAGTGTATATTCCTACATCTAACACCAAATAGTCTGCATGTAATCCACATACATTGTACATTATGTTTTTTTTCTTTCTAAATTCAGTCTGATTAACTGAGGGCCATTCTGGGATGCTGTATTGTTGGATAATGAAGTGCAGCTATAGGACCCCTTTCTCCACTTGAAAGTATAATTGAAA